CGCCAATAGACTCTGCAATTACTCGCGTCGATTCTCTCCCGAGAGTTATTATTTATCTCGTAATATGTTATTGCTGATAACTGATAATTGATAATGTGAGAATGTATTTAATGTAAGTTTCCGGAATTTACGTCCGTTTTATCCGCTTTATCGTTTTGCTTTTAATTAATTATTAATTATCTGTTTCAAATTTTTTGTAAGTGATTTTTTCTCTCAAATATTTGGATGAATATTATTTGCGGCTAAAAATTTTTTTTTTTGTGTTATTATTGAGGTAAAAATTTGTAGTTTTCTTTTTTTTTTTATGATTGTTAGGAAGAATTTATTAATTACTTAGAAATATTCATCATATTCAAAGTAAAAAAGAATTTAATATGGTTCACTGAAGATGATAATTGCACTGTACTTTTTTAAATATTGACGTTTTTAAAGTATAAGCTCATCCTGATGTTACACTCATCAAGAGCTTCCATTTGAGTACCCACATGCGTTTTTGATATATTTTTCATATATTTATATATTTAATATATATAAATATATAAAATATATGAAAAATTGATGTGGGTACTCAAATGAAAGGTCTTGATGAGTGTGATGACGACATGAGCTGATATTTTCAAAAATGTCAATAATTCACAAGATAGAATGACATTTCTTAATAATGAATAGGTAAATTGCACTGTATTTTCTAAACTATTTACGTTTTTAAAGATATAAGCTCATCCTGATGTTACACTCGTCAAGAGTTTTCATTAGAGTACCCACATCAATTTTTCATATATTTTATATATTTATATATATATGAATATATTAAAAATATATCAAAAATGCATGTGGGTACTCAAATGAAAGCTCTTGATGAGTGTAATGTCGGGATTATGAGCTTATACCTTAAAAAATCTCAATAATTCACAAGATACAAGGTAATTTCATTACTAATACATTATTTAAAAAAAATTCAGATGTATCAAAATTTTAATCATCATATCTTCAGTAGATCTAAAAATTGATGCACACGCAACTGTCCATCTACTAAATCTCAAAAATATCTTCAAAATTTCATTTAATAAAAATATTATTACCAGGATTAAGTCCAAAAAGTTTATTAAAAAACCAGTAAATTATATAAACATTTGTAAAAATAAATATGCGACTCGACAATATCATAAACTGTCGGTGAATACCTACCGCGTAGTTAAAAATAAACTCAACTGATGGTTCAATTTGTTCGTTAACGAGCCGCGTCGGTTCCCGTTGCCAGTATATATATATATATATTTTTTTTTTTTATTTTTCAAAAGTATCATCTTTCTCTCTTCAACGTCGCGGTAATTATAATATGAAAGAGCGATAATTCACCATCGGGAGGTAGAGTAACAACAGACGGAAGATAAAGACTTTAAAGAAGAAAGAGAAATAGAATAATAACTATAATAATAATAACAACAACAATAATAATAAGAAAAGGAAGAATTGATGAAGAGGCGCGGTAAAATTCATCGTGGAAGCGACGAAGCGTCTCAATCGTCTACCGGCACGCTGCCTCTTACTTTAGTGAGGATAAAAACCAAAGAAAGACAAGAGGAAGCCCGAGGTTGAGAGGAGGGTGTGCAAGATGGAAACAAGATTAAAAAAAAATAACGAGAGAGAGTAAGAAGCCCCTTCCTCCTTCGCGGGCGGTCCGTCTTTTCTCTTTGGGCTTGGGTATACACTATCGACCTCCGGGTCTTCACTAACCGGGATCTTTCTGTCGTTTACTTTAATATAACTTACATTAGCTGCTCTGCTGCCCGATATTCATACGCTGATTGTCTGTCCGCTCTACAGTTAAGTACAAGTCGAGGTTCTATACTCCATATAATACTTTTACCCATTACTCTTACTCTCATTATGTCGATACTTTGTATGCAATCTCTTCAGTTAGGCTTTGTATTACTATCTACCGGTTGCCTCTCTTCAATCACCGCGAAACCACATAAGAGAAATTATACTGCTTCATTATACACAAATGTTATTTTTAATAATTATTCCTGACTAATGGAAATTTTTGTAGATACAATTACATTGTTGATCTTATTCTGGACCGTGACTAATTAAAAACACGGATTTGTAAGGAATCTGATAATAATCGAGTAAACTCAGGATTTTGTTACTCAGTTTCGTCATATTAACTTAATTTTATTTATTTTTGCTCTCTTAAAACTCTCTAGATTTGACATTATCAAAAAAAAACCAAATTTGAAAGTAATTTAGTCGAGAAATTGGAAGAAAATCACTTTTAGAGAAGTTTTTGTGTAAGTTCGACAAGATGGAGGCTTGGAGGACAAAATGGCGGCGCGCATGCGCAAACTAGGGTTATAGTTCCATTTTTCATGATATTAACAAAAAAAAAATCAAATTTGAAAGTAATTTAGTCGAGAAATTGGAAGAAAATCAGTTTTGAAGAAGTTACTGCTTATATATGTTTGACAAGATGGAGGTTTGGAGAACAAAATGGCGGCGCGCATGCGCAAACTGGGGTTATAGTTCCATTTTTCATAATTTTAAGAGTAGAGGCAATAATATTAAATTAAATTATTAAAAAAAAATTTATAAATAAAAATTGATAAATTTTTAAAGTAGAACAAAACAATAAAAATTTTTTAAATAAAATTTATAAATTAGAATTAAGTGCTTAAGAATTTTTTTTTCCAGGTTAATAGTGATCACCTGGAATGAATCCGGTATTAACATAAAAACTAATTGCAGTCAATTACTATTCCAGGGAGATTAAGGAGTAATTGTCGACTCGATATTACAAAATGTGTTATTACAATGCATGAAAAAAGTTTCCTCTAGTCACACTCGTTTTGCTACACGCAGAATTAATTACGCAACAATGTTGACAAAACTTGCGTAAGTGAAGCAGCAAGAGGGCAATATCAAGCATTTAATAATAGAATGCAAGTCATAGTACTCCTTCTCTCTTTCTCTTACTTATTAAGTTAACTATCGGAGTGAGTCCGTCCATTATTGAACGGTCGGGGGCGGGTTCCCAGAACTGCTCGGGGATGTTCGATAAAAACACCGATACCTGCTGCATCTGAGTTGCTCATCGGCTACGAAACCACCGAAAATAGTCCTTTTGTGTCATCGGGATTCGACGGCTCACTTGTTGCAGATTAAATCCATGGAATGAGTAAGAGATTCCGAATGCCGATTCAGAAAGATACGCAATACAACTGCCAAGATTTAAAATGTAAACTTAAAGATGCTATTCCTTATATTTATAATGGAAACGGGGGCGTTTTGTTATTATTATTCTATAATAGTAAACTCAGTAATTCAAAATTCCGTCGAAGTTTATAAATATTATGCATATTTTTATTTTTATACACTTTTTTTATGTCCTTTGGCATCTAATTTAATCTTTAAAATAATAATATTAATTTCAATTTTAAGTAATTTTTTTTAATAAGGGATTTTAACCAAGTATTACTAGCAATCTTGCAACTAACATTTTGCTTTATTAAATAGTGACTTTCGTTAAAATGCACTGTACTTTCTTAAATATTACTATTTTTAAAGATATAAGCTCATCCCGATGTTACACTCATCGAGACCTTTCATTTGAGTACCCACATGCATTTTTATATATTTTTCATATATACATATATTTTATATATAAATATATAAAATATATGAAAAATGGATGTAGGTACTCAAATGAAAGGTCTCGATGAGAGTAACATCGAAATGAGCTTATATCTTTAAAAATATCAATAATTCACAAGATACAAGGTCATTTCTTAATTATTGACATTTTTAAAGATATAAACTCATCCTGATGTTACACTCATTAAGAGCTTTCATTTGAGTACCCACATGCATTTTTGATATATTTTTCATATATACATATTTATAATATATATAAATATATGAAAAATTGAGTGGGTACTCAAATGAAAGGTCTCAATTAGTGTAACATCAGGATGAGCTTATATCTTTAAAAATGTCAATATTTTACAATGTAAAAGGTCATTTCTTAATTAAATTTCCAACAAGAAGTCTCTTACAATTTTTCGTATCGTTAAAATTATCGAAATTATATTTTTTGTTAAACTTATGATTAAAAAATTTTGTTTGTCTTAATAATTGTTAAAGACTATTATTTTAAACCATACTTTTGAATAGAATTTTAAATTATTTTATTTGATAAATATAAATTATCTCCAATTTGTACATAAGTTTTTAATTTATTAAACATTAAACACTCGTGGAATATTTTTTCCTAATAAGTGGAAAGGTCTAACATTATGATAAACTTATAATACATAATTATCTAATATAAATGCATTAAATTAATCTTATTGCTTCTATAAATTATTTATAAATATCATATTAAAACTATCTAACATTAGAAGTGTACATAAATATTTTTTAATAACAAAAAAAAAATTATTATCTGAATGAATTAAAATTTTTTAAATTATTATCACTGTATATATTTTTTTATTACATAAAAAAATAATTATTAGGAATTCAAACTGATATAAAGGATCCATGTTTGTTTAAATTATATTATTCAATATAATAAAAAATAAAAATAATATATTTAACAATTTAAATAAATAAATATTAGATTTTAATTATTAGGAGAGCATCACGTGTAGTGGAGTGCAAGTTCAACGACTCCGGAACGATCGATGAGAAAAATGAGGAAAAAAAAATGTTAAGAGGACGCTCCCTCTACTAACTCAATACTAAAGTGTTGAGTAGAGTACACTTGATGCCGATCGGCTAAATTATTTTTTGCTTTGCGCGTAAACTGTCTAGAGAAAAAAGTTTTAAGTTTTGTGACTGCAAATTTTTGTTAAAATTGTTCTAATTACCCTAAATCAGGTAATTAATTAATTAATTTATTTTAATAAATAATAGAAATTAATTAGAGTTTTTTTTTTTTAATCCAGGCTATTAAATTTTGCCATCAATATTAATTATTTTATTTTTTAGCGGGTAAAATGCGGACAATTGGCCTGATCTTCTTGTGCGGTCTGACTTGTGCGACCTTGGAAAAATCACCCCACATTGTTTTCATCATTGCGGATGACTTGGTACTAGTATAAGCTTCTATTCAGATAATCATCAATAAGTACTATTGCAATTATACTAGCTTAACTATGTATTGTGTACCGCATAATAATTTATTTAAATTAGTTATTTATAAAAAATTTTAATTATCAAATTTAAAAGTTTCTTTTTTTTTAAATCAGATAATTTTGGATATTGTAAATGATTGATCAGGTGTAGATGCAATGATATTTAAAAAATATTGCTTGTTTAAGATTAAACTTAATTTATTTGATGATTAAATTATTAATACATTATATAATTATTAATTAATATTATTATATCAGTCATTAAATGGTTAACAAATCGGTATTGAATAATAATTATTCGCGGAAAAAGTTTAATTTATATAATATTCAATTTAGTTATTAAATTTAATACTTATTTTTATTATTACAGAATTTTTATGCTAACTTTGAGAATTTAATTAAATGATGAGTAATTAAATTAATTTTTACTTATTTTATTAAAACAATAAAAATATAATTACTGAAAAATAATTTAATAAAATTAGGAAAAACAAATTTTAAAAGTAAAAAAGTCACAATAAAGGTATTGTAATTAAGAAATGACGTTTTGTCTCGTGAACTATGGACATTTTTAAAGATATAAGCTCATCCCGATGTTACACTCATCAAGAGCTTCCATTTGAATGCTCACATGCATTTTTGATATATTTTTCATATATACATATACATAATATATATAAATATATGAAAAATTGATGTGGGTACTTAAACGAAAGGTCTTGATATGCGTAACATCGGGATGAGCTTATATCATTAAAAATGTCAATAGTTCACAAGATAAAAGGTCAGTTCTTAATTATTGACATTTTTAAAGATATAAGCACATCCCGATATTACACTCATCAAGACCTTTCATTTGAGTACCCATATCAATTTTCCATATATTTTATATATTTATATATATTATATATATGTATATATGAAAAATATATCAAAAATGCATATGAGTATTCAAATGAAAGGTCTTGATGAGTGTAACATCAAGATGAGTTTATATCTTAAAAAATATCAATATTTAAAAAAGTGCAGTGCGATTTAACAAAAGTCATTATTTAAAAAAGAAGAAATTTAAATATTTCTTCTTGTAGGGATGGTACGACGTAGGCTTCCACGGCTCGGGAGAAATTAAAACGCCTAATATAGACGCCCTGGCTTACACAGGAGTAATTATCGACAGATACTACGTAGCTCCAATATGTACTCCCTCCCGAAGTGCATTAATGACTGGAAAATATCCAATTCATACTGGAATGCAGCACGGAGTGAGTTTAAATATTTATATTTAAAAAGTGTACCATTTAATTTAACAGTTACCAAGAAGATAACTAAAAAAACGCAATACAAAGGTAATCATGGCAGCCGAGCCGTGGGGATTGTCTTTGACGGAGAAAATTCTCCCGGAATACCTTAAAGACCTTGGGTATAAAAATCATATTGTTGGTAAATGGCACTTGGGTCATTACATGAGAAATTATACGCCGACGTATCGTGGCTTCGAAAGTCATCTCGGTTATTGGACTGGTCATCAAGATTACTTTGATCACACGGCCGTTGAATGGGTACGCATTATAAAACAATAAAAATAAAGTTACGATCATCATCTTCATCTTTTATTGCATACCATTGTTCGGATGAATTTACAGCCTGACTGGGGCCTGGACATGCGAAGAAATTTGGAGCCAGCTTGGGATCTGCACGGCAAGTACTCAACAGACCTTTTCACCGAGGAGGCTGTCAGAATAATTAACAATCACAATCAAAGTGATCCGTTATTTTTGTACCTTGCACACGCGGCAGTTCACTCCGCAAATCCGTACAATCCTCTCCCGGCACCTGATCAGGAAGTCGCTAAATTTCTGCACATCAAAGATTACAAACGCAGAAGATTCGCGGCGATGCTAAGTAAATTGGATGACTCTGTCGGTGCAGTTGTTTCCGCTTTGAAGAAACAGTCTATGTTGCAAGATACCGTTATTGTCTTTACAACTGACAATGGGGGTCCTGCTGCGGGATTCAATGATAATTTTGCCTCTAATTTTCCGCTTCGTGGCGTTAAAAATACTTATTGGGAAGGTAAATATTACCTGCAGTTAATTTTTATTTTATTTATAACTATAATCTTGCAATAATGTTAAATATTTTATAGCTAGTCATCGTACCATTATTGACGTTTCAAATTTATTATACATAATAATATAAATATTGACATTTTTAAAGATATAAGCTCATCCCGATGTTGCACTCATCAAGAGCTTTCACTTGAGTACCCACTTGCATTTTTGATATATTTTTCATATATACATATATACAATATATATAAATATATAAAATATATGAAAAATTGATGTGGCCACTCAAATGAAAGGTCTTGATAAGCGTAACATCGGGATGAGCTGATATCTTTGAAAATGTCAATCGTGCACAAGATAGCAATGTCAGTTCTTAATTATTGACATTTTTAAAGATATAAGCTCATCCCGATGTTACACTCCTCAAGAGCTTTTATTTGAGTACTCACATGCATTTTTGATATATTTTTCATATATTTATATATATAATATACATAAATATATAAGATATATGAAAAATCAATGTGGGTACTCAAATGAAAGGTCTTGATGAGTAGAATCTCGGGGTGAGCTTATATCTTTAAAAATCTCAATAGTTCACAAGGTAAAAGGTCTTTTTTTAATTATGTATCTAAATACTTATCATAATAAATTGAATAGGTGGAGTTCGAGGTGCAGGATTAATATGGTCAAAAAAATTATCAGAACCCGGAAGAGTGTCCCGAGAGCTGATGGACATCACAGACTGGCTACCAACATTATTAACAGTAGCAGGTGGTAATAATTCAATTCTTCCCACAGCTATTGATGGTATTGACATGTGGGAGTCATTGAATAATAAAGGACCGTCACCGCGGCGAGTCGTTGTTCACAATATCGACGACATATACGGCGCAGCAGCGATAACTGTTGACGACTGGAAGCTAGTGAAAGGTATATCATATATTATCGTCTAGACTTTCGTCTCGTATTTAGAACAACCGTCCATCCTAACAAACGTTCGTCGAATAACAAACCATCGGTATTGTAATTACTAATTAGATACATACTTTTCAGGTACGACTTACCGCGGAACTTGGGACGACTGGTATGGATCCTCCAGCTGGGACATACTTTACAATACCACCGAGGTTATAGAGAGCTCCGCAGGCTCTGCTGTTACCGATCTGGGACTTCCACTTACTCTTAATCTAATTATCAACTTACGAGAAGAGTCCCGGGTCCAGTGCGGTAAGAAGAATACCACGCTGGCTAAATGTCGACCTCTTGTCAAGCCTTGTCTCTTTAATATCCGAAGCGATCCTTGCGAGTTCAATAACCTCGCAGAAGCGTAAGTAAAGTTCCTTTTGCTTATCTCAAGGATTTGTTAAGCTTAATTTAAGATTTTAATAAATTTCTAGTAGCAATAAAATTTAAATAAATTAATGCTTTTTTTCTTTTATTTTTAGAGATAATGAAATGCTTGTTAATTTAATGGATGTATTGAACAAAGTTAATAAAACTGCAGTGCCACCGAGAAAAGTTGATTCTGATCCGAGGTCAAAACCTTCGCTTTGGGATCACACTTGGACCAATTTTGGTGACTATACTTCGTGATTATTTCTTCAGGGAATTTTGTTGTCTGTAAGTACTTTGCCGCATCTGAAAGATAAATTATATTTTAGTTAAGAATTAATAAAAAAAATAGTAAACTAAATTTTTGGAATTTTTTATTAGTAATATTAATAATAACTAGCAACCTTGCAGTCACTACGTGACTGCTAAGACTTGTGAACTATAAATAAATAAAATTAAATAATGAATTTTGTTAAATTGCACTGTACTTTTTTAACTATTGACCTTTTTAAAGATATAAGCTTATCTTGATGTTACACTCATCAAGAGCTTTCATTTGAGTACCCACATGCATTTTTGATATATTTTTCATATATACATATATATAGTATATATTTTAAAGATATAAGCTCATTATGATGATATACTTATCAAGAGCTTTCATTTGAGTACCTACATGCATTTTTGATATATTTTTCATATATACATATATAAAATATATGAAAATTTGAAGAGGGTACTCAAATGAAAGGTCTTGATGAGCGTAACATCAGAATGAGCTTATATCTTTAAAAATGTCAATATTTTATAAGATACAAGGTAATTTCTTAATTATTGACATTTTTAAAGATATAAGCTCATCCTGATGTTACACTCATCAAGACCTTTCATTTAAGTACCTACATGACAATTTTTATATATTTCATATATATGGTATTTGTGAAATATATAAATATATCGGGATGAGCTTATATCTTAAAAAATGTCAATAGTTGACAAAATACAAGGTCATTTCTTAATTATTGACATTTTCAAAGTTATAAGCTCATCCCGATATTACACTTATCGAGACTTTTTATTTGAGTACCCACATGACAATTTTTATATATATTCATATATATAGTATTTATGAAATATATAAATATATAAAATATATGAAAAATTGATGTGGGTACTCAAATGAAAGGTCTCGATGAGTATAATGTCAGGATGAGCTTATATCTTTAAAAATGTCAGTAGTTCTCAAGATACTAGGTCATTTCTTAATTATATTAATGTAAGACCATATTAAAAACAATTAAAAAAAAAAGTCTAATTACCTGCAAAGTGAAGGAATCCACATAAGTCCAGCAGTACAAATTTCTTCTTCAATCAAACAAGAACAACGACAACTTTCATGATTCCAGTACATATCTTCTTTAAGCGAACAATCGTACATCTCGTCCATATTAGTGCACTGGCACAGACAGTCGTCTGGGTCGTACTTCTGCCGGGAATTGCAATCAGTCGCCATAAGTTCGCAATCGCATCTGCAATTGTAATCCCAATTATAATAAAACATAAAATAATAATAAAACGCTGGTAATATTCCGGGAAAAGAGGAAGGCGATAAATTGAAGCCACTATACCACATCCTCTACTATTTATTATCTTATAAAAGAAAACATCTATATTTATCCTCGAAATAATAAAAACGTTGAATAACTTACTTGCATCTTGTGTGTTTATCAACATCGAGTTCCCAGCAAGGAGAGTGTAAAGACCCAATTTGCATTCTCTGTACCAGCACTCGGGTACTAACTGTCTCTATAGCCATGCAGGACTGACTCTCATGACCGCATCGTCCGTCGCACTGATCTATTAAGATCACGTCGGGAATATAAATGTATCCAGGGTCTGGAGTCAATTTAACCAGCGTCTTCCGCGGCTTGCAGATTACTTCTTTCCCCATTTTGCTTAATGTTTTAGTCATCCCACGGCACTCTATTATATCCAGGGTACAGGTAATAATTTTTATTAAGTACAAAAAAAAATTTATTTTTATTAAATTAAATCAAGAATATTTTTGTCTCTTTGGTCAAAAAAATTTATTTTTTGATCAATAATTTTTTTTTAATCAATTATTTTGAAAAAATTAAGAAAATATTTTATTTTTAAGTTAATAAATTAAAAATTAAAATTTTATCAAAATTAGTAGCGTAGTTTATTAAAAAATTAATTTTTATCAAATTATTTATAATTTTAAAATCACAATTTAAAAATAAAAAAATTAATTTTTTTCCATATTTTTTTTTAAAGCAATAAAGAAATTTTTTAAAGAAATAAATTAGTGAATTAAAAAAATTAATAAGCATACCGACTTCTCTCCCAGGTTTGCTCTCAGTTTTCTCCGTACTGGGTTTATCATTCTTAATAGTAACATTAGTTTCCGGTTTCTTGGCCGCTGATCTTACTCGGTCTGTATTAAATAATATAAATAGACATATAATATCTCGTTTAACATATATTTAGTTGGACTATAAAATTGAGCTAGAGATAAGCATAAATTAAATTAAGTTATAATTATCGATAAAAATGTGAGACTTACTGTTATGCCACGGCTGTTCATTCATAATTTCAAAGTAATCTTGTCCCCCCCATACAGCATCGAGGTCATTGATTAAGATTAAACTCAAGAGGAAAATTATATTCATTGTTTAATACGTTCTTATTAACGATGCATTCAACTATAAAATATCTATATGTTTATATTTATTTTTAAGTTATGATTATTGTTATAATATGCAATGACTATCACTGCAATTATTGTTTTCAAGCTCTAAAAGTTATTCAGCAATACTAAAGCCGCAGATTTTTTTTCCTCATATTTATAGTGTTGGCTGTCAACAATTTTTTTTTTTTTAATATTTGGCAAGGAAATGGATGAGGAAAGTAAAAAAAATACTTTATCATTCAAATCCAGTGTATTATTATTAATCAAGTTTATACATAAAGTTAGTTTATGTTTCAGTTTGTAGATTGGTAGAAAAACAAATAAGTTATCAGACGGTGGCTAAAATGTGAGAATTGGATCTTCTCTGTGGTCCAGTATATCTGAAAAAAAATTTCAATTATTGATTATAAATTATCAACTAGCAACCTTGCAGTCTTTATTAAATTGCACTGTACTTTCTTAAATATTGACATTTTTAAAGATATAAGCTCATCCTGATGTTATATTCATCAAGAGCTTTCATTTGAGTACCCACATCAATTTTTCATATATTTGTCATATATACATATATATATATATATATATATATATATATATATATATATA